TTAAATGCAGCCTTCTGACCCGAAACAACAACTCATGTGTTATTGAGTAAGTAAACAGAGTGTCATAACATACCTTAATACAAGGAGTAGTGCAATAAACGCCATACATTGCTCGCAGAAAAATAAACGGAGTCAAACCAAAGCTCATGCTCGAAGACCATGCACAGCCACCTAAGCACTCGTAATGTGTAAAAAATAATGACAATAGTTACCTGTTGCAGAGGTAGAACGTCGTCAACACGAAACAGAAGGAATCACCTTCAACATAGGTCTAAAGATGGTTACAGTTATGTTGCACGTCGTTATACTTACTATCAGGGCATATATTTTTTCCAGTAATTGATTGTATTAATGCTTCTGTAAATTCTTTCTTTGAAACCTTCTTCTCATTTTTCATGTTGTATATAATCCAAGCGTTTACCAACGCCATGCCAAACAAATATTCCATACCCACTTTTCTGAACCATTTGAGCCCTCTTTTTAATGTAGAATAATATGCAGACATTTGGTCGCTGAAGTCAACACCTTTTTTATCTTTTTATCTATTTATCTTTCTTTTGTTGCCTGACATCGTGCCTTTAATTTTAAGGAATAAAAAAAACGTGACGTACGTCAGTTCCGATAGCTTGCCCAACACTAACTGGCGAGGCGGGCGCTCTGTGCGGTATCGGGCCGCCAACAGCCTGTTGGGACGGCGGGCCACAATAGGCCTCCTCCCGCACCGAGTTGATATTTTTTACCGTCAGTGCGTGATAGGCCGATAAAGGCCTGCCGTGATGTTTTTATAGGGAACACCTATACTTTTGACCACAATCTCAAATATATATTTGTCTTTGTCGTACCTTTACAAACACCTGAGATAATCGTTCCGCACCAGCGAGAGGGACATAGTTTTCTTCGTCCGCACCAGGTGAAATTCCGCGGCAGGCTGATTTGGGCCTGTTCCGCAGTGAACGTGTTAAAGTGACAAATTAACGAATTAATTTAATAACACAATTTGATACGTACTGTATTTAATAGCAAATTTAGAAATTATTATTATACTTAAGTAACTCACAAAATAGCATTTGCAGTTCGTATACTGGTGAAATTAACAAGCTTAAGAAGCGAGAATTCTGCTGCTACTGTGAATATGATTTTGATTTTTTTCTTTTAACTTTTTTTTTTGTGTCGCTAATTGTTAGATAAGCCACGTCCATTTTATGTTAAACTAGCTGACCCGGCAGACTTCATAATGCCTCAATGTATAAATAAAATACCTAAGCTTTTGTATAAAATAAACTTAAAACAAACAAAAGGAATCAGTCCGACGGGGGACACATCAAACCACTGAGAAGATCCGGCGATAAACTCAGTGGGCTGTGTCTATGGGTTAATCTACTCGTCGAGCCCTTCGTCGCAAGCGACGGGTTCGGCGAGGACGGTGACTGGTGCTTGAGGTACCTAAAAGCACCGTTAGTGGATCAGGAGGATCCATAACGACGTGCTTAGGGCAACGTCCACTGTTTACCATTCGGTCCACAGGATCGGGTATGAGGATTCTGATAGTATTCACATATTAACACATCGTTGTTACCCTACAGTAGTCAGAGCTGCAGGTGTCAGTTAAAGCGTTGCAGACACTAATGTAATCACGTCGGACACTTGCTCTGGTGTCTGGAATAAGATTTGCTTACATTAACAAATAAAATTTATTTGAAATAGTTCGTCTTGCAGAATGCTTTTAAGATCCCGTTGCAGGCGCTGTTGAGTAATTAGATTCTTCGTGAGCAAGAGAGAGAGAGAGGGAGAGAGAGTGACATTTTCACATTCAATAATGTTAAAGTCTCTGAAAACCTCTGAGCAGCTGAGGACTTGTATTACTCAGCTGCAAAGGAACATTATAATTATTGCAGACTTCCAATTAATAAAAATACAATGTAATTAATGTAATTAAACGTCATTTAATTGAGAAACCAGCTCGTATGCTTTTTTATTTTTTATTTTTTTATAGCTTAAATGTGGTCGGCTCACAGCCGACCTGATGTTAAGTGGTTACTGGAGCCCATAGACATCTACAACGTAAATGCGCCACCCACCTTGAGATATAAGTTTAAAGGTCTCATGTATGCGTAAGTATATAATCGTAGAATTATTATTAAGATTACTAATGAATATTAATTTGAATTATGTTGAATATGAAAATTAAATATTGTTTAATAAATAAAATGTAGAGGTTGCCAACCAACAAGTTTAATGAAATTTATTTATTTATTTTAGGAGGAGCTTACGATGAATAATAATCAGGTGTTTGTGATAATATTCAAGGCAGTTAATTTTTATTTATTTATTGTTTTAGAAATATTGCCGAAGCTCTCACTTGGTGAGCCGTGACTGCAAGTGTCTGCACATCATAACTCAAATGCCGCCACCGACCTCAAAACATGGGTAGGCGTTTTCGACCCGGAAAAGACAGGGCGTTGGTTTTACCCGTGCGGACCTCGCAACAGTTTTAATATAAAAATATATCGATTTTTTATGACCATATCAATTATATTAATGTTCAGTTAATTACCGACTTATTAACTACAAAATATTTGGTGTGCGGTTGAGTTTATTAAAGAACTCAATTTTATTAAAGTCTTCTATGCAGGAGGAAGATAGACTTTCCTGTTATTAGGATCAATTTAACTAGATCGTCTCCCGTTGAGAGTTCATAGATTATGATGGCGATGAGTTTATTTAAATTGTATTATTTGAAATTATTTCTTTGAAGTGAAGTAATTTTTTCTTGTATCTGTATTTCTTGTAGTAGAAGAAACTTTACCAACATTCAGTTTCTGAATAAGAATTCTTCAATACAATTATTGAGTAACACAACAAAATAACTATTTATTAATTCTTTTTAGAAACTTTAGTGCGTTATTCAGTTAGATTAGACGCGACACGTGTCTTTGATTATGTTTAATTTCATATTATTTTTTTTGTAAAACCTATCGCGCGTTACTATTCTATATCTGGATACGAAAATGGCTTATGTGGTTTGGGCATTCATGAAATACAGATTGAAAGAAAAATTGGGGATATGTATAGCAAAGATACCTAAGTACATTTTCTTCTCTGCTTGTAAATAAATTTCCTTGATTTTTCTCCATTTAAAAATGTCGTACAAAAGTACCAAAAACAAGAAACAAACCATAACAAAAGGCAGAATGTAATTCATTAACGGACTTAAACATTGAAGTGTCATTGATTAGGGTCGATATTTTTTCAGAACGCAATTAGCCCATCCTTTCCGTTATTTCGTATTTTGTAACTTCATAATACAATAAAAACTAAGAGTCTATTTCGATTGGAAAACTGTTTTTTTTTGATACCTAGTGTCTTTAGTACGATAAAAATGGGCACTATAGTCATATATACATATATTTGTTCACTCTATTTCTTTTAAGTTTTTAATACACCTCGATTTGCCCTACTTATTCCCAGGTAGCTTATGGGGTTCCAGTTACGCCCACACAGGTACGTGAGTTCACGGGCTCAACCTGAGAGAATTTGCTAACACTAGCCCTAATAAGAGCAGTGCTTTGTAGAATCTTGGGGGTTTTTGCTTCCCGCTTCCGTAGGTTTAACCCGCGATTCCCTACAAGTGACCCCTGGGTGGTGCTAAACGGGAGCCGAAAACATAACCGGTGGTAGGACCTAGTCCGACTGGCTGGCGACCACCCTCCAACTAGAGTCCGCCGCCAAATAGCCTAGCTGTGTTCCGGCGTGTGGGTTGGAGAGCCAGTTCTATCCCTTCCCTTTCCCCTTCCTNAAAAAAAAAAAAAAAAAAAAAAAAAAAAAAAAAAAAAAAAAAAAAAAAAAAAAAAAAAAAAAAAAAAAAAAAAAAAAAAAAAAAAAAAAAAAAAAAAAAAAAAAAAAAAAAAAAAAAAAAAAAAAAAAAAAAAAAAAAAACTACCACCAGATCGGAAACGCGACCCAGAGTGAAGATCCGATGAGAACTCTATCTACATTGATAATTAACGAGTGCTTACCACGAATTTCAATTTTAGTCAGTTTCCGATATATCAATGACACTAGTCTACTAGACAGAAGTATGCCGTGTAATTTTTTTATAGTTAGACGGGTAGACGAGATCACGACGCACCAGGTGTTAAACGCTTACAGCAACAAAGTGAATGCCCCTCCAATCTTGAGACATGCATAATGCTTCACCGCTGAAATAAGCGGGGCGGTGGTAACTATAATATAGTATTAGCTAGCGTATATTTATCGATTTGGGTAGAAGCGACCATCCAGCCAATTTCTGTGGCAAATCAATCACGGCTTCCCGCTTGAAGGATGCTAAAGCCGTTTTAAGATACAATTAAGACTTCCACATAATGTTTCAGAGATGGCACTCTATAATTTTAGTATCAAAAATGACAAGCTCGTTTGAAGAGTTTTCCAGCTCTTGTTAGAACTGTAACTCCTTTGGAAACTGACAATTTATTTCGAATATCTTTAGGCATTTTTTTTGCTTAGATGGGTGGACGAGCTCATAGCCTACCTGGTGTTAAGTGGTTACTGGAGCCCATAGACATCTGCGACGTAAATGCGCCACCCACCTTGAGATATGTTCTAAGGTCTCAAGTATAGTTACAACGGCTGCCCCACCCTTCAAACCTAAACGCATTATTGCTTCACGGCAGAAATAAGCGGGGTGGTGGTACCTACCCGCGCGGACGCACAAGAGGTCCTACCACCAGTAGGCATTCAAGCTTAGTGTATTTCGAAAACAGTAGATCGTCCTATCTGAAGTTTATTATTCTTTGCCGTCCGCACGACGCGGGTCTTCAGCGACTTCTATCACACGTTCTTTTATAGCATCTTGGACATGTGGTTACCACAGGCGTTGCTGTAATTTTTGTTTTTTGTTTTTTTTTGCTCTTTATATTCCCGTTCGCGACGGTATAAATTCGGTTCCCGGGTGTCGGTTCGTTCAGTCGCGCATTTCTATATTAAGAACCGCCTCGAACGGCCTCGGTCGCGATGCCCGAGCGCACAACAAGACGACTAACAATAAAAACTGAACGCTGTACGTATTTTATTAACACGAAAACGATATTACGTATAACGTGAATGGCATAGAAAATTACGAAAAAAAACCAATTAATACGTTATAACGTAAATGAAAAATTATCTTTCGACGTAATGGTGAGTGTAGGGAAAATGGAACGCGGGAAAATTTTTCGTTTTCGTCAGAGAATCGATTCATTGAAAGATGTACGGTTGAATTTTTTTTTCAGATCTCAATGTGATTAGTAAAATAGTTTTGTTGCAAAATGAAGTTCACTATAGACGTCCTTGGTGTTTTTCTTAAAGTTGTCGTCAAGGTGAGTCCGTTTGAATCATATCGATATTTTAACGCTCTAAAGACGAAGCTAACGGCAAAATTGCATTAAAACTTTTAACATGACACATCAATAATGTCGCGATAATTAATACCCTAACAAAAAAAAACCGTTTCCTTATATTTAACTTACGAATTTTAAAGGTTTCATCTAAGAATGTCCGTGACAATGAAAGCTGAATAATAGGGTAATTTCGAAACATTTACCAATCAAATTTCACTGATATTTAATTAACCAATACTTTCAATGTTACTATTATACAATAATTTTTTTTTTTGTGAATGACAGTGAGAATATAAATAGTTTAATGTTGTTGGCAAAGTGTGTTTTCGATGATAGTTGCGTGGGATCACTGGCGTCATTGATGCTTCAAAAATACGTTGGTTATTAAACGTCCATTTTGATTCAGTACGGTCTGCTACCGACTTACCTGTTTCGGCAACAAAATAATGATATTTCCCCATAAATTTCCCCATAAATGCCTATAAAACAACCCCTTAAAGGACCTCTTAGCTTTCTTAACACGTTGATGCTTTTGTCACGCGGTGGGCCTGGCGTACCTATACCATTCGGGCCAAGTCAAAATCGGGGAATCAGTAATTTTTATCAACTTGATATTTTCATTCTAAAATTTATAAAATGCGATAATTTGCACGGTAGATAAAAAATTGTGATTTTTACCGTCTAGTTTTTAAAATATTTTAAAAGGCTTTTAAATAAGCTTGATAAAAACTACAAGTTTCTATTGGATTTGAAAACCACGCCATTCGGTTCGGCTAAAGGGCCACGCGGCTCACTTCCATACGCGTTTTGTTTGATAGCTGCAATCTGTGGCTTGTAGGAAGCGTTTACGTTGGAACCCTCACGCGGCTCACGGGTGACCCTCACGGCCCGAACGGCTCGGTAAGATAAGGGATAAGGCTCACCGGTGAGCACCTGGGCCTAAATGAACACTCGATTTTTCTTATAGCGTTCAAATATGTCGGGCTTTAGATGGTTAGCGATATAGTTCCTCCATATGTGTAAATGTTTCCTATTCAAATTCCATTCACGGAGAATATAAAATCGATCCTGTCATTACCTCAATGTCACGTAGACGTGACGAAATAAGTATTATTTTTTTAAAGGGATTTTATGACCTGGTAACTAAGACGTTTAAGTCATGTCTTATTTTAATCTATATTTATATTTTTATAAAAAATGATAATATGGAGTGAAATGAAATGAAATGATGAACGATGAAGTGAAATGAATTAATTTGAGACATTAATCAATTAATTGAAATGAGATGAGATGAAATATAATCTCAGTAAAATGGTGGTTATTAACTGAGATTTTTTCAGTAGACTTTTTGGAGGATCCTGAGAAGTTACGTCTTTGTTCCGTCTTTCCACATTTTTTCTCTTTCACAGATATTAAACAGCTAATAAACCACCGTTATTACACATTTAAACCTGAGGAAACACCAAATAGACAAAATAAAACACGCAACCTTACTCCCCGCGTGCCCGCCAAAAAGTCCACGAAATAAGTGTAACGTCTAAGACATAGATAATTAAGGTCTAAGATTAGATATATTAGAAGAATTATATTTAAGGTCTAAGTCCTAAGATTCACTGCGTTGAAAGACGCTCGAACGACGAACGTGTGGTGTTCTGATTCGCGTTCCAAATAACGTGACTCACAGGTGAATTGACGATAAAAACTATAATTTAAATTTGTATTGATTTAGGATTTGTTTCAATATAAGATAAAGAATAAATTTTCTGTCAACTCGCGGTTCACTCCTCGCCGTCCCGCCAGAAAGTTCTAGTGAACCTTTTTTTATTTATTCGTTGGAGAGGCAAAGGGAATGTAGCCAATGAGGACATTTTCATAACAAATACTGATGCCATATATGTTGTATGAAAAGCGAAATGGAAGAGATGGAATTGAATTAGATAGGGTGAGGACAAGTCATCACTGGTAAACTTTGTTCCCAAAACGAAATCTAGTTTATTAATCAAACTAGATCAGTGTGTTTGCTTGAATGCAGGACATTTGACGAGATTTCAAAATGTAAACATACGCTCGTGTTCGTTCGAATATAAACGCTACGTTTCACGAGAATCAATAGTTATTTATCAATATAGATTCCTTAACAAGTTGTCCACGTGATGGTATATGCTTTTCAAGGCCTATCGAAGTCTGAATCTGAGTATAACTAGAATAATTTCTATTATTGTCTATCTAGCCTTTAAGCGTTTAGTTACGATAGCAAAAATGTCATGTATAGCTAACGTGACCATCGGGACAGTCCCGCTTTCGGGCATTCGGTCCCGCTGTCGCCCGCGAGGTCGACATAGTCCCGCTTTTGCGAACAGACCAAACCATAACTTTATTTCAATAAATTAAATATAAGTAAATCATGTCATCACCTACTGAGCTCCATACGTATCTAAAAACAAGACTCGAATTGACTCGATATTTTGAAACGGATTTGTGCAGCCGGCAAATACAAAAAAGCGACTTAAAATCAAACCATTACTAGGGCTTAGTAAGTCATGTCTAGTAACAATTTTGTGTTTAGTGCTTTGATTAATTGTGTTATTCTATCTTCTTTATTAAAATACTTGTAAAACATTAAATACTTTTTTATTATATAAGTTACTCAAAAAAATGAATGGTCACGTTATGTATAGCCAAAGACAAAAAACTATATAGATGATTCTAAAAGTGTGATTCGTCGATAATTTTAATTTCTGTTTCACATTAATCTATGGAGTTAGATTACCGCTTGCGAAAGCATAAAGTGAGTGATTAAGCTCGAATAGAATAAATAAATTAATGATTTTTTAAATTTGTGAAGGTAATCTAAAAATGTTATCTGTACTAATATATAATATAATAATGAAGCTGAAAAATTTGTTTGTTTATTTGAACGCGCTAATCTCAGGAACTGGTCCGATTTGAAAAAAATGTTTACTACTACAAAGTGAGACCCACTATAACGCGAGCCCTACTACAACGCGAGGCCCACTATAACGCGAGGCCTACTACAACGCGAGACCAACTACAACGCGAAACCCACTACAACGCGAAGCCCACTACAACACGAGGCCCACTATAACGCGAGGCCCACTATAACGCGAGGCCTACTACAATGGGAGGACTATTACAACGCGAACCCTGCTACAACGTGAGGCCTACCAATAAAAACAATGTTAATCTATTATAATCTATATATTATTTGACCGCAGACTAGTCGGTTTAAAAATAATAACAAAAGTTTCACAATTTACAACAAACAAAGAGTATATTTATGAATATGTATAGATAAGATTAATAATAAATTACAATTTCCGAAGCGAAGCGGGTCGCTAGTTAATTTAAATCTATGGTTTTGAATTATCATTGCGTTACATTATTTTTATTCTTATGAATAGGCTTATAGGTTTATTTTTAAATATTATAGGCGATTAAATTCATATTAAGAGCCCGTATGTACGTGCATAGGTTGGAGTCAGTCTCGCGCGCACATCAATTTCAGCTTGCAGTGTTTGCGGAGCGTAACCGAATGTAATTCAATATTTACTCAGTACCGCTGACCTGCACCTTCCACGAATTAAATCTCGCCGCCGCGCCGGTTCGTAGTGAGTTAACGGGCGTAGCTCTCGTTGTACGCATATCCCGTGATGCGAGTATCATTGCAGTGATGCAAATAGGCCATAGGCCAGTGGTTCCCAAACTTATTTTGTCTACTGCCAACTTTGAGAATAAATTATTTTTTAGCGCCTCCAATTTTTTCTACCTACTTAAAAACCACTATAGCGAGAGTTCAAAAAGTGTCTAAAAGTCCTCCTAAATCCGAAATAAAAAATCGCCCCCCAAGTCTCTATACAACGCTCCCATTTTTTCTGGGTTTCTTACTGCCCCCCATTAGGTCTACAGCGCCCCCAAGGGGGGCGCTATCGCCCACTTTGGGAAAGACTGCCATAGCATACTGAACCCGATCTTCGGCTTCTCTCATCCAGTTTCTGCCAGCCACCCTGTATTCATCGTCACTCCACCGCGTCTGAGGGAGTCCTATACCAAGTTTGCCAATTCGCGGTCTCCACTCAAGAACTCGCTTACTCCAACGGTTATCGGTTCTCCGGCTAATACGGCCAGCCCATTGCCACTTCAGCTTACTAATGGGAGTATGTCGAGCCTTAAATCTTGGTGGGCGAACGAAACGAAGATATATAAGAATATGGCGAATTTTTTATCAAAATGTGTTCAGGAAACTTTGCTGAAGATTTTGGTAATCTTAATTAATCTTTTGGTAATCTTAATTAATCTTTAATCATAATTAATTTAGAAGAAAATACCATTTAGAAGGAAAAACATAAAAACATTAATATTTCGAATGGAAAATAAAACCCCTCTTTAAATCGGATCTCCGATCATTCTGGATTGCTCTCAAGTTTTAGGACAAGATAATATAATTAAAAAATATGTGCGATAACTAAAATAACGCTGCGCTTAGTAATTAATTGTCTTTAAGTGTATTTATTATCTATAGTCTGGTCTGGTTTGGTCTAGTTGCACACAGAAGGTATAAAATCCATTTTATCTGAAAGCGAAAATTGTTTTTTTTTTAATGCAAATGTCAGTGTAATGTCAATGTCAAAATCATAGATAATAAAAAAATTAAAAAAATACATTCATTTTGACATCTAATTCAAAGGAGGTTTAATGTATTATATAAACCAGGTGGGCTGATTCGTTATTCACAGAGCATCGCGAAACTTGGTCGAGGTAATTCGCATAAGATTTAAATGAAAACTGTTTGGTGGACATTCGCCGTTATACTTCGTAGTCGGAATGGGAAAAGGGGGTTTTCCTGAGTTTTTACGACCTTTTTTTATTAAAATACGGTTTTTAGGCACAATTTACTTGTAGATAATGAAGGTATGGTATAAGAATTTAATTGGTTGGATAAAAAGAATTCTACTTGGTAA